AAAAAAGAATCATCATTAAAATGTGAAAAAACTCTGCAGCTGGCAAAGAAGTTGGAACTCGACATTCAGGTTTCCAATTTGTTCTGTTATTCAGAGTATAACAACCAGCAGATAATCCATCCTCAGGTGTCCCTTTACTAGATGATTCAATTCCATCATATCTCTGAAATGGTACTGGCGATTGTCTGGCTGGAGTCATAGCTGATATGACGATCCTCCCTTCTCTTAGCCCTGAGAATCTCAACTTTCGATTCCAGTGAACTGGAATATGACAGTTAAGGAATCTCTGCAACTAATACTTGAACGCAGACTGCAATTTACCCACAGGAAAACGCATCTGAAAACGACCCATGAAATCTTACCATGTCATCATAGAATAAAATAAAATGAGCATCATGCAAGTTCAGGATGAGAGTTATGTGTTTGTCTTCCCATTAACACCTCCAAATTTCCACGAATCACATACTGAAGCTCTCCAAATTACCAGGTGTACATCTCCAATAAATCCAGCTCTAACAACGAATACCAGGCGTACATCACTAATGTACCAGTACAACCATCTAAACATCGAAGGCACTTGCACATTCATGATTTCATGCTTTGGCCACAAGACTCCGAAGTGCAAGTTCTTACGATGCTCCAACAAAATGTTTTCACCCTTGAAAGCCTATGCCAATCCTTCTAGCATGATATTGACAGTATAAATGCAGGGGAAGAAGTATAACACAGTTTTTGGACTACCATGCTTTATTTTAGGACAATGATAGAGAGCAGTTTTCTTAACATGGATTTATAAGTTCAAAAAGTCTGAAACAGAACAGAAGACATTTCACATACCCAATTGAGCCTTCAGATTGTTCTATAGCTCGACTTAACTCTGCCATTGTTTGCTTTCGCAGCTCTTCAAACCAAGCTACGAGGAATACATGACATGGAGTAAACAATGTGCCGCTTGTTTCAGGAATTTGACAATGAAAATATACTTACGAAAGAACATGCGCAAATAAATTTGATTCAAATCTTCAATTCAAAGCATGTGTTTTGCATTATCAAACAATAAGTTGATTTTTGCTACAATGCAATTGAATGTGACGTAACGTAATGTTGAGAAGAAATATAGCATACGTGATCATCTCTTCTCCCCATTGCCCAGAAGACTTGAAGTCCTCTAAACACTAGAGAGTTTAGTTTTATAAAAAGGGTTGTGACAAGAAACACCATTTTCTTTGCTCTTGCTAGGGTTAAGAAAAAATCTCTCCATACAGCCCATGGATGGCTTTAATTTCTACATGTACACTTGCATCCCGAATAACGTTGCTGCGAGTCCTCATACCTTGCTTTACATATCTGTAATAGAATTCAAATCCAAATAAATCCAATCATTAACCAGTTAAATCACATCAATTTTGCCAAACTAGGGATAAAACATCAAATTTTGCCCTTTTCTTCTTAGCTTCTTCTTTTCTTTCTTATAAATATTCTTCTGTCCAATATCAACTTTGATATTAGAGCATATTTGCTCTAAACTTGTACCTTGCTAGTTGTCAAATATGATGAGTTGAGAATCAAGTGGTTTAAAAAAAATAATATCGTAAGATTTTTTTAAAATCATATTTATTTTTTTGAGTGCTTACACTAAATAATTTTTTAAAACTTTTTTATCTATCACTAAAACAAAATTTTTATTTTCTCTATCAACCTCATTTTCACTCATTTTTATTTATAGTGTTAATTTTTTTTTCTTACACAACATCTTCATCTTGGTCGCTACGTCCCCAGAATTTAGTTCATAATTTTGCACGCGCGCGTGCAAATATATATATATATATCCCTATGTTTTTAGATAATTAAAGATTTAGAGATGCAATTAAAAATAATATGGTTGAAAACTTAATATTTAACACATCAAACCTTTGAATTCATCCTAGATATTTAATTAACAACTCTTTTTCTCTTATCTTTTTCTATTAAATTAGGCACCTTTGGAACTAAACATATAGGGTGGAGCACCTAATAAAAGATTATTATTTATAAATTGAGACTTAAGGAAGTCCTAAAAAGATCTTGATGTTTTGTCCATCGACTCTTTATAAGTAACTCATAGTCTTGCACTATAATATAGGCATGGTCAATATTGAACGCACATGTAAGACTGACTTCTTTTATAAAATCATCATTCAAATAATTATAAAATCCATACAAATTCATGATTTCATTTAACTTATGGCATATCTCATTACATAATCATTAAATTATGTTATATACTCAATAATAAACTTGTTCTCTTATCTTAAATTGTTTCTTTGATTTAAGAGTTTACTTTTATAAGACTGAGATAAATACATTTTCTGTAGTTTTTGTTTTATTTTAGTCCAATTAGTTATGAGAGGTTTACCTCTATTCTCTAAACAATCCTCAACATCTTTCTAATAAAATCAGGTTTCAATAGTAAATATATTTTTAACAAATTTAACTCTCTTATTATCAAACAAGCTATGTTATTGAAAACATTAATTTATATCATGGATTCATACATCAAATATCTAAAAGTTATGATGACTATCAAAAGTAAGTACTTCTATTTTGTTAGGAGTTATAATTTGCTTATCAAGGTCATTATGTGTAAACTAACCTAAATGATAATCATATCAATAGTGCTTGGGGTAAACTTGCTTACAATGATTATTTTTATGATATTTATTGGTCTTTGGATGCCTTATTCAAGAACTTTCTTGGAATTCAATTTTTTTAAACATATTAATCACTTGAGTTTATAGCTCCCCTCAAATAGGCCTAAGAGTATTACTAAGGGTCGGGTTTATGGTAAGTATAAACTTAAGCTTGAACACTAAATGACAATGACATAAATGTATGTAATATTAACTTAGAAATTAAATTGAAATCACAAGTAGCTCTTGCAAGTGAAATTATAATACAAAAATAAAGATAATTTTTTTAAATGTAAAGATTAATCAAGAATAGAAAACACCCAAAAAATTATAAATACGTAATGCTAGATCTTTTAAATGTAAGCAATTAATCAACTAACAATCATAATTTTTCATTATTTTCGACAAGCTTTACAATTACCAAAGATGATTAGATGCTTAATATAAAGAAAAAAGAGATTGATAGGAAAAAATAACATATATAAATGCAAGATGAGATTTTTGTTTATGCACAAAAGTAATATTAATGACAACTCTAAATGATAAGTGCAAAACTAAAAACATAAAATTTAAGGAGTGAAAAAGTAGAGTAATTTATTGACCAAGATTCAAACTAATTGATAAGCAAAAATAACATATTTGATGATGGTCACTATTATTTTACTACCACTTAATGTGGCAATGACATGGTTTTGATGTGGCAACACACAATGATGTGTCACCATCATGGAAACATAATGATTTTTATTTTAGATTTGGGTTGTAAATGAAAAGATTAATTTTTTTTTTGTTGCTACATTTTTTATTATTATTAATGAAAGTTTCCCATAAAATCTAGGATTTATGAATGATTTTTGAATTTGAAGACTTGAACAAGCCCATAAATTGTTTAATTATAAAAATAATTAAAAGACTATGCTATGATACTAAAATTGATGCGGGACCAAAGAATATTTAAAGCCTAATAAGAAAGAAAAGAAGCAACTAAAAAGAAAAAGCCAAAGAGAAAAAAAAAAGGCAAAGAAAAGAAGAATGGGGGTTGAAAAAGTTTGCATCTTTGTAATTTATATTCTATTAATTAAAAATGCCTAACATTTAGAAAAATAACATAAACTATTAAAACAATAAGAAGAACATGCAATTAAACTTATAACTCATTAAATAAAATATCCAGCAACAATTAACTTAAATTTAATAAATAAGACAGCAATAGTTAACTTAAGTTCGACGTAATTAATAAATCTTAACTACAAGTTTAAATAAATTAAATCAAAACATAAGCTAAAATGTAATTTTTTAATGTTTTGAGCTATTCTTTATTATTTATAATTATACAAGTGTATAAATAATATCTCAATTTCAATAATGTTCAAAATTTGTGTTAAACTGAATTTATTATTTGCGGAAACGGTGATAAAACTGCATTAAACAGAGTGAGAAAACAAAGTGAAACCTTTATTTATTTATTATTATTGATAGAAAAATGTTTTATTTATGTAAAGGTAAATATTTGGAAAGGGCCATAAATGATCGGCATTTGGCACTATCTAATTGGCCTTCTCATGTGATGGCCTATCACTTGCTAAAATATGGCATACAAGAAGCAATAAACTTCAGCATTTTTGTATGCTGTGTGTGGTTTTCAATTCTCTGTGTCTATTACAATTTTCCAACCATGATTATAACATCATTTTTAGGTTGACCAAACGGAAATTCAAAGCTGGATTTGGTCACATCTATCAAAATCTTCACTTCTTCATTGTCACATGAAATGGCACAGCGACACTCCTCAAAGGCAATAATGACTTTTAACGCATAACATGGTCCAGAAAAAATTGACCAGATAATGCGACATCCAGCCAAGCATTCATGCAAAGCAACGCTTTTGCTTATTAACAAAAAGGGCTGGAAGAAAGTGCCTAGGAGCGAATTTCATTCCTCGGAACTGGGAACATATTCAATACTCCGTTCGTCAAACCTTCGCTTATCTTCACCGGGAAAACTCGACATGCTTGCATGGTAGCCAGCCATTTAACCCGCGTTTTAGTTCTTTCTTTTTTTTATCGAAAAAATACTAGGTATATACTGTTTAAATGTGTTTTTTATATAAAAAATTTAACATGTACATTACGAAGAATCTATACAATCATGTAACTAAATAAATTAATAATTATTTATGTAAATAAATAAAAAAATCATTTGTAATAACCAATAAAGAAATTGCAAAAAAAATATTCAACCGAATATATTTACTAAACTTTTTTATTTTGAAAAATGAAAAATAAGTCAACCATAAGAACCTGTGATTTAAATGATAAACTAGAATTGGACTCGGTCCAGAAAAAAAATTTATGATTTTCATTGAATATAACAAATGGAGTATACATATGAATTGGCACTAATTACATTCATTTGCACAAAAGAACACATATAGTACTGCCTAGAGGCGAAGAATTACGAAGTGAAATTTCATGCTAAGTTCAGAAAGGACCATGGTTGGAAAGATGAGATAATTCGTCCTTCGCGGTAATAGTTTCAAGTAAAGCTACTGCTCTGATGTTTGCCTCACAAAACTCTCAAGCTGTAGGATGCCGTCAGTAGTAGTAGTTGTAAAAACCAATATGATGGCAAGCAGTAGGGAGCTCCAAAACAAAATTGCGAGATTGACAAAACCACATGCAAGGAGTATCACACTCCTTGTGTTTCTGCTGGCAGGGTATTGGTTGGGCCACTCTTTCAACATTTTCTGATGAAATTGATTCTAGATGGCACCATTTGCTATGACTGTTGAAGGACTAGATTCAATTCTAGAGCACTTTTTGTCAATAAACCGCCCCTCCTGTGCAAAATTGACACAGATAACATCAGTGACTAGAAAAACCATTTAGCATTGAGATACATGGGAATCTATAAAAAAAAAGCCACAATGGATAAATCGATGGAGCAGGATCAAGAAATTTCTGCAAAGAAAAGGACTTCTTGTTTTCTGTGATAAAGCCAACAGGATTTGCAGCTCTTTCCATGCGCAGTGTTGGTTTAAGTTGATCGCACAATCATAGGTAGAACATAGAGAAAATGAGGCAGGAGCAGTACTCAAGAGTCAAGATAGAATGCTTGCCTTGCTAGTGCTGGAAGAATTTGCTGGATCTTTTGCAGCTGAGCAAAGCACTTGTTGCAGCATTCTCGCCTGCACATTATCCAATAAAAGTGAGTGTTCTGAATCACACAACTTAGATTAACAGAGCATGGCAGTAACAGAAAAGTGTTGAGTCCATGTAAATATTGATTAGTAACACCTTTGCTCTGCATGAAGATCAACACCAACAACTGGAGGTGCGGAAACAGCTGATTGTATTACTGGGCCAAAAACCGCTACAAGCTTCAGTAGCATCTCCAATGAGATATTTGCATGCCTGTAAATTAACATTTTAAGTCAAATATCTTCAAGGGTTTTCTTTGAGTTCCAGATTTAGTGCCAGTTTTGAGACAGTTTCATTTCCCTATGTAGGAGTATATGGTCACTTGATGAGAATTATTCATAATTTGATGATGGTCTGGCACTACATCATATACTCTAACCTACCTTAAAACCTTTACCAATTTCACACGCTAAAAACTATGCCATTGTTCTCTTCCAAGTGGACTCCAGGGACCGCTTATTTATAACTTAAAAAGGAAGAAAATGGTTCTTCAATAGTAGAAGTAACATATTGAGTTTGTTCATATTGAAGCTCTAGTTATGTAGCACACCAGATAACATAGCTGTTTTTGTACAAGTTAAATGAAGTCATAATTTGCCACTTCTAAAGACAAAACTGGATGATATTTGGAAAGGACTGCAGAAAAATGGTATAAAGTCCCAAAGACCATATCTAGCATTAAAAGTATTCTTATTATATGCCCATGAAAGCTACCTTTCCATCTTGCTGTCTAGCAAGCCCACAAGCACAGGAAGCAAGCAAGAAAATAAATCTAAGTTGAGAATCTCCATTTTGTCCATGAGAACACTGATCACATCTGCTTGCACCTGCAACAAGATTAAATAATATCAATGTGCAAGATATACAGCCTTGCAGACTGTCATTATCAACACAAAAATCCACTGGCATGAACCATTCCCATAAATACCCACAGAATAATCTGGCAGTTTCCTCAAGGCATTGATAGCACCTTTAATGTCACTTCGTTCCCAAAAATGTCGAATCACCTGCAAAATAACATCAAAGCTACATTTTAGCGACTTTGCCTCTCCCCCTCCCACCCGAAGGAAAAAAAAGGAGAAAAACATAGGTGCCAGAAAGGAACGTTTAGCCATAATGAAGATGCTGAAATAAAACATGCATAAAACTTAGTCAATCACTAGAATAGGCACATAGATCTTTTGTCAGAAGTAGGATTATTATATTTTACAGTGCAATAAATCTTTAGAATAGTCACTATGTCATGCTTCTAGAAGTCATCTTCGATTGAAAAAATCCACCACTTGAGCACACCAATAGGCACAAGTAACTCAACATACCTGTAGCTTAGTCAAGCGGGATTTAAGGGTATTTAGGAATACATCATGACTTTGCATCAGATCTTCAATAACATCCTTATAATTAGCAGAGGTCGAGTTGCTACCAGAAATTTGAGGCTCGTCATTCTGTCATCATCAAAAGAGAGAAATTGAGTTTGATTCGTGGAATGTGAATAATACAGCCACATACAAATTCATTTGACTGAGTTTGTAAGCATCAGGATGTCATGAGCATTGGTTCAGCCTCTCAGCTGATAATTTTAGAAAGATTCCCACAGAAAAAATGACACTATTCAAAAAGAAATTTTCTTTAAATTGTGTTTGCCATGTAAAAAAAATTTCAAGAAGACAACTGAAATTTGATTATTAGGTTTTCTAATTAGAACAAGAGTTTGGTAACAGAAAGCACGTTTTTCTACATTTAGTACTAGCCCAATCACAAATGGATGAACTACATACATTAATCCATGCAGCAAGCACTGCGGCCAACAGTGCTGCTAACACTTGGCAAGTTTTTCATTATCTAGTACAGAGGTGGAAAATACAACCAAGTCTCAAATGATTTTCTTCAATATCATTTCAGAGATCTGATGCTTCAAGTCATCTCAGGTGAGTACTTGAGAGGTTGGCTGGGAAATATAAGATGTTATCTGATTCAAATGTCCATGACAACATCTATAGCGACAGATAGAAGATGTATATATTTTTTTTTAATCTCATGTCTAATTCAAGATAGTAACTTGATTGTAATCACACCTGATTCCTTGCAGCATTTATCTATCCATTTCAAGTTGAAACTTCAGAGATTCTTATATACTTAGCAGGATCTTATGTTATACAGACCATAAGAACATCAAACCAATTGTAAATCCACTTATACTTGAACCATGAAAAATCTTCCTATAAAGGAGGCAAAGATCTTACCAGAATGGGGGGTGCTCTATCCATTTCACATTCGATGCGAGGTGTAAAATTAGTGGTTATGGAAGGTATTCTATCCACTTCAGGTATAACAGGCGTGGTTGTATTAGTAGGAACAGGGGGTGTTCTATTCCTTTCAGGAATAACACGAGGGGTGATAGCAGCTGCTACTGGGGGAGGTCGCGTGGCAGTGTTTGTAGGAATAGGGGGTGTTCTATCCCTTTCATGTATAACACGAGGGGTGAAAATAGTTGCTACTGGGGGAGTCCGATCAGTTGCAGGTATAACACGTGAGGTCATACGGGCAGCTACAGGGGGTGTTCTATCTGTTTGCGATATAACACGTGACATCATATTAGTTGATAAAGAGGGTTTTCTATCTGTTTCAGGTATAACACGAGGGCTTGATTTAGTTGCTATGGTGGCTGTTCTATCCTTCTCAGGTATGGCGATAGAAATCATTTTTGATGCTGTGGAGGCTGTATTATCTGTTTCAGGTATAAAACAAGGGTTCATTTTAGGTGCTATTGTGGCAGTTCTGTCTGTTTCAGGCACAATGAGAGGAGTCATATTTGATGTAACAGGTGTTCTATCTGTTCCAGAAATGACAGGCGGGGTCGTATTTGTTTCTGTGGTGGAGGTCCTGTTTGATTCTGGCACAGCTTGATGACTTGTGATTAATTCTTGATCTTCGCTGCTTAATTTCTCCCTTCTTTCAAACCTCTCAACAAGACTACGTGTCCTGCCTGATACCACTGCAACTGCCAGAATGAAAATATATGCAAAAAAAAAATCAATTTCCATCCATTTTGCATATGCTTGAGAATCAAACACATGGCAAGGACCGACAAACCTCCATTGACAATCTTAACAGGGGCAATCTCTTTACTGCTTTTAACAGATTCATCACCTGAAACATACACAAATTGTTGTTACCTGCTAATAAAAAGATATATCACAAATTGTCAACCAAAAAGATAAAACCATGTGTGAATATGCTTCACATATCTACATTTCAATAAGATAAACCACATTCATTTATTTGACTTCAGGAAGTCAACAAAATGTATATGTAAAACTTATCAAAGCATCGGATACAAGCGAATATGGGGTTTTGAAGGACAAGCAACACAGAGAATGGGAGAAGAGGAACCTAGGCATGGGAAGAAAGCTGTGCTCCACCGAGTAGCCCATTGCCCCCAGTGGTTTTCTAATAGACCAGAATGAGAAAGCTTCAATATATATCAACCCAAAGGCTGTGATGGTGGTGATAAGATTCTGAAAAATATCTTTGATCATAAAGGGTACAATAAAAAGCACTAGCAAACATTGCCAAATATGATTGAAAAAATGGAAACTTTATCAGCTAGTCACAGATAGTAATATACTTAGTCATCTAAATAGATGGCAGTCAAACAATATCTTCATAAAGTCAGCATGGCTAAGAATGAGAAGAAGGTATCGAGGTAGATGGCCAGATAAGATCCCACATGATCAGAAATGAAATGCAGCTTTGACAAATGAAAGATTTGGAAAAAATCACAGGACAGGGGACATCTCATGGAGAAGTGAGATTAAGATACGTGAGCTAACAAAACAGGTGACTCGGGCTTTATGGAAAAGGCAGTGAGAGAGTAGAGAAGATAAGACATCAGTCCAGCTCGCTAACCCAAAATTGTTGGGAAAAGTGAATGACAAGTAAAATGCAGTTCAAGCACACATGGAAAAAGGCTTACTCAGGAAATACCCAGGGGAAAAGAACATGGAAGATAGAGATATCAGAAGAAGGAATTGTGAGAATGTAAAGAGCTTATTAGTTTAAAAAAATAAAAAAGATACTCTTATAAAAGCAAGAACTTACAGTTTCCATCTTCTGTTACAATCTGGGATTGCAAGCTGGGATCTCTTGCACTACCTTTCTCACTTGTAACACTGCTAAAATTTCCAGATTCAAGAGCCACTGACATCTTGTCAACATCATTCTTGCTATTTGATGGCCTCCGCACATGAGCTGGTCTGAGCAACATACCAGGTTTGGTTTTTGTAAACGTGATAGTCTCCTTTCCAGAATTAGAAGAATCTTTTTCAACAGGAATGTCCCGAGGGACAATGGTAGGGACAATGAAAGATTTGTTAAAAGCTTGTTCACTCAAATTTGCATTCATTCCCATTAAAGGGCTCTGCTTCTCGGTTAGAGAAGCACTCATTTCCTTGGAATCCAGTGAGAGGACTTCTTTTGATGAATTCAGGGAACCAGCTCTTTGTAAAGTAACAGGATTTCCACCAGTAGCTTTACATGAAAGAAGGAAAAGCACATTAGAGAGAACATAGATTGTAGACATTAGGGATGCACCATGCATGCCTAGACAACAGCATGTGCTGATTATTAATGGAAATTACAATCACACTCCATGCCTGCAGAATATTCTAGCTTTGATAGGCCAGTTATTGTACATCCATGTAAATGGCCTAGGAACTAGGAAAGACATGAATTTTGGAAGTCCTGACTTGGTTCAAATCCAAAATCACCAAAAAAAAAAAAGAAAGAAAGAAATGAACAGAAAAGCTAAACTTCAGAATTAAATCAATTCATGTTAAAGGAGTCTGGTAGAAGGACCAGTTTTCGTTCAAGACGAATCCTCCTTGACACAGTCAATCCCTAAACAACGATCTTAAATGGCTACAGTGGGAGTGCATTTACAATTGGAAAATTTTAACTTATCAATTTTTTTTAAAGAAAGCAGAAAACTATTCAATAATGTGTTCACTGGATAGAATTTTGTCAGAAAGCCAAGCTTCCTTTTTCTTAAAAAAAATCTGAAAACTTTAGAGCTACAAAATACATTTTTCATGTTTTCTACTTTGTTTTCAGGGAAAAGAAAATCCACTTTGGAATATAGTGGTCCTAATAGGAATGCTTTTACATTTTCTTCTCGAAAAAAAACCTTTTGTTATTTTAAAGGAGCCAAAAGAGTCCTCATTTTCTAGTTAGAAAAATAAAACTAATAGATAAGAACATTCCCTCCATCTTTCATGGAAAAAAAAATTTGGCAGAATAGAGGGAAAGGTAGAAAAAAATATTCCCTGCATCTTTCATGGGAAAATAAATTGGCAGAATAGAGGGAAAAGTAGAAAAAAATAAATTGGCAGAATAAAGGGAAACGTGAAAACTACTTTTCATTAGAAAACTGTAAGAGAACCAATACCATGCCACGAGTAAATCACTCTGTGATGGCTTAATTATGGTATTCTCTTAGTCTCTTGTTTCTTCTTGAACTTCTCTCTCAATTTCCAGCCTTTGTATCGTAAATTCTCTTCAGTAAAATTTATATTAAAATATTTTTGGCATCAGCTTAAGGACCAAATGAAAAACTAACAAGCACCACAAGCAAATATTGGATGTGGATAAAAATAAAACTCTACTTAGAAGTTATGGGGGCAGTACAGTTCTTGAAAGCAGATGACATGGAGAATTCATGCACTCATATAAACAAATAAGACACCAAAAATGAATATCCAGAGTTGCCTTATTGGTAGAAAAACAAAATTATCAACTTACAGTCTACATATATGTTCTTTATTTCCTTTGTCTCGTAGTCAGGAGATGGAGAACGGAAACCCAAAGTTGATCTCATATCACTTCCTACTTTATCTGAAGAATTACATCCAGGGATGTTAAATTTCTGGTCTGTGGATTCACTTTCTTTAGTTACAAAACCATCACCATATGGCTCAATGCACTAAAACAGAAAGGAAAATATTAACACTATGGTTAATGGTGACTTGAAAGTTTGAAAAATCAAATAAAAACTAACTTCATATAAACAGAAAAAAGGTTCATGAGTGGAAAAGGCTACCGATATATCTCCAACCCAAACTCCAACAGAGTTTCTATAGAATGAACAGCCCAAGAGTTTCCCATCATGAATGCAGAGGTCACCAAGTGTCGACCATCCCATATCAACAGCATCATGGCAAATCACAGGCTCCCAAGAATAAACCTACAGTTTTAAGCATAATTTTTTAGCTCCACATCAATTGACAAATAACATAATGCAGTTTCATTACGCCAAAAACCCAAACCTTCAGACTATCATCTAATCCACAAAAAAGTGTCCTTCCATCAGGATGAAAGGTAATAGAGCGCACTCCTGTAGCCTGAAAAGTGGAAGTATAACTTTTTTAGGGAACATAATGGAAGAATTTACTAATTAATCATCCTGAAAACCACATACCAACATAAAAATTAATCAAATGAGGACAGGATAACCTAGAGCAGCCTGTAAAGAAACTTAGAGACTGGAAAGAAAGTTGGAAGATAGGGCAGAACTGAAGACCGTATGATGAACCACATGCTCTGGGACAGCAAAAGCATCTATTGTTATAAGAGCTCTCAACTGATTAGGTTACAAAAGTTATTGAATATCAGCACTATATGGTTCCATATCAGCATAAGAATAATAGCCTCGCACCATTAACTGACTAACCATGACCATATCAGATGTATGAAACATGTCTTGAAACTTGATTGCTTCCAAGACATTCTTGACAAGAGACTCTAAAGTGGGCTTGTTGTTGTGAGCCCATCTCCAATTTTCTTATTTAACCACATTTTGATGACTAAAATTGTTTCAATTTATAAACACAAGTTTAGATACCTCAGGTCTGGCAGATCCAATCAGTTCGAAGGTCTCCAAATCCCAGAATTTCACGGTTCTGTCTGCGGAACCTGAAAAATTATTTGCAGGTTATGACAACATAGTAGTTGAGTACTTCAAGTTAAAACATGCTGACTGGTGGGGGCAAAGAGAGTAACAAAGAAATATGTAAATTTTACCACAATAAGCTTCTAAATGAAGCGCCTTAATCAAGTATGAATTAGAACATTGAAGAAAATAGAATTACCAATGAAATGGTAATAATTTCACAGAAAAGAAGATGGAAGGCACCCGTCATCTCAATAATGGTGTCATTCACACACAAAAAAGTGAGCAGAATTCATGTACTCACCAGTAGCAAGGAGAAACTCAAGGGGATGGAAATCAATGGATCTAATATGTCCTTCATGGAACTTAAAATCATGCAAAAGCTTTCCAGCAGTAAGATCCCACACCTGTTCAACAATAACAAGGAAACACCAATCAACAGTGGAAATAAAACCTAAATGAAAGTCACGTTTGGATAGTGTGATTGATAATCTACCTTTACAACATTATCACATCCACCAGAAACCACCCAACGACCATCGGGAGTAAATCTGATGGTGCTAATTCCTTGAGTATGACCCTTGTACGTGTGTATGCAGCCCTTTTTTCTGATATCCCAGATCCTCATATTCATGTCTGTGGAACCAGAAGCAAAGAACTCGCCAAATGGATGGAATTCAACAGCAGTGCAGTTGGATCTGTGTCCAGTAAGAGTGCGAACCACTACACTTCAAGAAAAATAACAAATGGATTAGTTTTTTACTATAAACTACAAAAGCGATTCCTGACACACCAAATGCTCAATAATTTGCTAGTTCAACATACATATGGAAAAGACTTAAAAAGGGTAATCACAATGCTAAATTCTCATACCATAGTTAAACACACCAACTACATAACCTTATGATAAACACTTCATTTAAGCAAGGAATACCATCAATCAATCAACTTACTCTTAGCTTCTTCTAAATCCCACAGCTTTATTGCACCCATAGAAGCTCCGGCAAGCACTAAAACTTCTGATGTATCAAAAGCAACAGATTCAACTGGACTTGTATGACCACACAAGCTCTGCATATCGACACCAATAAATAAACAACCACAGTTATGTATTTTAATAACACCAACTAACAGATGCACCCATTCCATTTACACTAGCATTTTCTAAATGATAGATTCAAACTCAAGTAATTCTCAATTCCAAACTGATAGTCCACTTTCCAATTCTTTCAGTAAATGCTATCTGAGGTTAAAATCTAAACTTCCTCTAAGATGCAATATTATATGATACAACACAACAGATTGAAAATGTAGCAAAATTAATGCACTGATCTGGCCCAAATGATAACAAGCAGATAAATCACACTCAAGAAAAACACATTAGAGTACCGGAATCAGAAAAACTTTAAATAGGTGGGCAAGAGATAAAAACAGAAAGAATAAGAACTAACCATTAAAGAAGTGGGTTTGCCAATTGCCCAAAGATTCACTTTATGATCATCACCACCGGTGATAAACATTCTACACGCCTTTTTACCAATACTTAAGCAGTTCACGTTGGTTGAATGAGCCACAAATTCTTCTATTTTCATTTCAGTCAAGAAAATAAATATACTGAAAATATTCTGATCTAAGATTCCAAAATACTTCTCTCTTGGCTTTAGATTAAAACAACTTCTCGCCAAATTATTTGTAACAAAAAAAAAATAAAGTACAGACCTGAAATTATAATTAAAACAAGAAATGAAGAAAAATAAATTGAATTACGTTCAAGCAGAGAAAGAAAGCATTTCAAGAAAATCACGAGAAAAATAAAAAAATAAAAATAAAAACCTGAAATTTCTACAGTAAACCAAAAAAGGATCATTTTAAAAAGTTTTAGAAAACTAAAAACAGCTAAAATCCAACTCGAAAACAAGCTCGAATTAAAATCGGCACTAAAAAAACCCTAAAAAACACGCTTTGAAGCTAGAATTAAAGATGATTCAAAGCTTAAAAACATGGACATTACAGATGAGACGAAGAAATCAAGACAGAAAAGAAAGGATACGCAGCTTATATCCACGCTTCGCCATTTCTTGCAGATTCGAAACGCTAGCGTATTGAGGAAGGCGCGCGGTTGTCCGTCTGCTGCTACTTATGATTCTTGAAAGATTAGGAATTGGATTCCAGATAGAGAGGAATTTGTGTCTCTCTCTCTCAGATTCCTACAGTGGAGGAGGAGGAGCAGAGAGGAAGAAGAAAAGAGGTGTCTGGCTCCTTTTTTTGAGAAACGTGTGTTCCCTGTCGTCTAAGAAAATAAAGAGGAGAGGGGGGGAGAGAGAGAGGAGAAGACAACAGTTGAATTCTTCAGATTTCAGACCATGATAGCCACTACTCGTACTCCTTTCTGTCTCATAAACTACAATCTAGTCCTTCAATTATTCCAGAGGTCCAAAATTTTGTTTAAGGGCGTGTTTATCATTACAGTTAAAATATATTTGTTTAGAATTTGATTTTTTAAAATTAATTTTTAAAATATTTAATATGCAAATATTAAAAATAAATATTATTTTATTATATTTCTAAGTAAAAAATCTTTAAAACACAACATTTATTGTACTCTCAAATAGACAATAAAATTTCATACATCTTTGGATTAGTTGTTATATTTATTTAAACTATTATTTTATTCCATGGGTTTTAAATGTGTTAAGTGAATGTTTAAGATTGCCAAAAATTTTAGTTTTAGGTATATTTTAAAAATATTTTTTAATAATTTTGATGTATTGATATTAAAAATAAAATTAATAAATTTAAAAAACATGATTTAATATATTTTTAAGTAAAATTTACTTTTAAAAAATACTATATACCACAATATCAAATACATAATAAATTATGAATTCTATTTTATATTTTTTTAATAAATTTAAACTTTGAAAATAAAACGAGGAGCAAGGTCACCTGCCATCTAAATCAATAAAATTTTAAATTAAAATATTTTAATTTTAAAATTATCTAAAAACACTTGATATTATCCGATTATTTATTGTCCAAAAGCAGTTTAAGGAATTTTTTTAATGCATATTCCTTTTTTTAACATGTGATAGTTTTAGTGAAGTTTTTTCTTACATTTATTTTCTGGTATAAAAAATTCATTCAAAATCCACGGAATTTACACTTCATCACTTAATTCAGTAGTTTATAGGGGACTTTAATATAAAAAAATTGTTTGTATCATTATTTTTTTATGTAATATATTAAAAAATTTCAAACTCCAATTTTATTTCACCTAACAAATTTTCAATTTTTATACACACAAGACTAAAAATTCTAAAAACAAATAAGTTAAATCAACTAAAACAAAAGTGCAATCAAGCGTAATTAAAAGTGTAATAATAATTATTTTTAAAAATATTTTTTATTTTAAAATAAATCTATATATTTTTTTATTTTTAAAATTTTATTTTAAATATTAATACATAAAAATAACTACAAAACATAAAAAAATATGATAGAATAGCTTTATGTACAGAGTGCAATAATTATTAGTGTTTTTAATTATTATTTTTTGGCTGCTCATGTTACCATGACTGGATTTGAACAGTGCACGTAGTGTCGGTGTCAATGTAGACAAATAAAAAGAAATAAATGGATTATATTAATATCGAGGAAAAACAGTTTCTCGAGTGACGTCACACTATTTAAATTTTATAGTATTATAACCCAACTGAAACTTATTATATAGTTAGAGGACTATTTTATACTTTCACGTTTTTCAAAAATTCACATGTTGCCACAGTATGAAATTACAAAAAGGCGCATGGTCGGTAACTTCTTGACACACAGGCCCCCAGTGCTGGTGGCAAAGGTTTTTTTTCTCTTATTTTATTATTTATTTATTTTCGTAATTATTTTGTGGTGCGAGGAATTACAAGTTCTATTTATGCTAAAAATACCAATCCTTCTTTTATTTTATTTCATAATTTTTTTAATCCATTTTTTTTGGAGTCTACCAAACGGTTGGATGGTTGGATTAGTGATGGAATTTGAAGTGTGATTTGGGGCATGAAAAGGGCTTTATATTAAAGAAGGAAAAGGGAATATGAGGCCAATGAGACCAAGGGAGATTCCTTAAAATACACGTTTACTCTTGTCTTGAGTAATTAAGGTTGTTGTTGGGAAATAGACATTTGCTAGGAAATTTAGGTAAAATATTCATTAGATTTTAGGTTATGATCTAACCAACTCAACTTCCCCCGTCCTGTAAATTCATTGAGTGCTTGTTTTTTCATTATAACTTGTGTTTTAAATTAGTAGTTTTTAGGTGTTGTTAGATGGTTTTAATACAGTCATGTTAAAAATAGATTAAAAAAATTATTTTAATGTATTTTTAATTAAAAAAATATTATTGAAAAACATCATGCATCCCAATATTAAACCCATATTATATATATTTTTTATGTATAAATAGGTAATAATAAAAAATGAAAAGGCAACAAACTTTTTTTGCATGCCATTCTTGTTTTATTTATTTATTTATTATTATTATTATTACTATTATTATCACCATATAATTTATTAGAGTTTTTTAATTTTTAATTTGAAAATATATTATAATAATATTTTTTTAAAAAAAATATTATTTTTAACATAAACCCATCAAAACAACTTAAAAATATTAAAAAATTAATTAAAAACTAAAAAAAATAATTTTTTTAAAAAATATAATTAGATCACAATGAATAACTGTGCATAGAAGTTGGAGTATAGATTCGGATTGTTCTTGGATCTTTCTATTTGGGATGTGAAGAATCATTAATGCGTGTGAAGTTGCAAGTGTAGATTACATTAATGGTCTTAGATTGCACACAGTTCAATCATGGCTGGCAAACGAAACTGTATAGACCAGATATAGTTGGTACCAAAATAATCCAAGTGCTTGACATGTCTTTATAATTGTTCTAATTTTTTTCCAATTTTGGGCAAACATCCTAGGTTTGGAGGGACAACATTAAATGCATGGATGCATGATATAATGTTTTTTCATACAATATGTGAAGTAGCATGAAAATAATATTTTTTTTATTTTTTAAATTTATTTTTAATATTAATACATTAAAACAATTTAAAAATATATAAAAAAAATTAAAATTTTATAAAACACGGTTATTATCGCAAGCGTAGGCTGATAAATCATTTTCCTTTTTTCAATTCTGGTGCGTGGTTCTAAGTTCCAAATCTAGCATCACTCCCTTGATGGAAAAGGGTTTTACACATTTCTCTTTCGATTCTAATTTTCATAATCAAGTTGGTGTGAGCGTGATTAGTAAGACTGAGCATTTATTATTTTAGTTTGATTTGAATAAAAAAAATCCAACCCAGCAAAATGTTTTTTTTGTTTAAACAAATCAAATTGAAATAAACGGAACAAACAAGTTCATTCTAAGTAGTTTAATTTGATTTGGTTTGGTTGTATTTGTTTCTACAGCGAGTAATTTTTAAATTTATTTTGTTTTTAAATTGTTTTGATAGATTGATGTAAATAATAATTTTAAAAAATAATATTTAATATAATCTCAAACATTATCTATATCTTAATAAATAAATCTCGACTTTTTTGGTTTTATATAAGAAAATAATTTTACTTAAGCTTTTTTATTTTTTAAATTTGTAATCAAAACTAAAACTAAACCGAACTTGACCTGTTTTTAAGTTTTCTAATTGAATTTTTTATTTGATATCTCATGTTGTTTTCTGAATTAATTTTTTTTACCAGCTAATTTGGTGAATCTTGCTCATCACTGTACATAAATACGTAAACATGCAACCTCTATAACTCTTATCAGATGGTGGCATAAACGACTCTTCCCTGTTTAAGAACAGAAAAGGAGAGGGTAAAAGCTAGAGCTGGTCAAAAGGTAAATGAAAACAGAGCATAGTGGGCGTGAAGAACTTTTCTGGATGTGGGGTTGCTCGAACCATTTGGATTCTGGGGGCATAGGCGAATGTCTGCAGCATAACAACACTTGTGATACAAGATCACCCGTCCCTAGAAGCACATGTGACGCTACATTGTAACCTCTCCCTCTTTCCTATGAGATAATGACCTGTGAAGGAGATCCATACAATCCCATAGGCTCTATCTATCTTGGGTATGAACATCTCCAGCATGAACAGCAGCAGATAAAAGAGTACAGTAAAGATAAGACCGTCACTTTCATACCCCCAGTTGATTAGCTTCTGGCCCTCTACCCCCTCCACTGGGCATTGAATAGTAAGCTGACTTCAACGTGGACGTGGAAGTCCATGTCAAAATCAAGGCAACAATTGGTTAGTTTAGTTGTTGTAAAAACTATCTTACAAACTTTGATCCCTGACCTAATATGTCTCGTAAAATAATCTGGGCCTTTTTTTCTTTTGTTTTTTCTTCTTCTTTTTTCAGTTCAATAGGATGGGATAAAGATCTGGTCCTAAAAAATTTAAGGTCTGTTTAGAAATGTACAGCTATGCGGTTAAAACCATGTTTTGGCTTAGCCATAGTGTGAAATTTAGCCCAAAAATCCCTGAGAAAGAAAGTTACACGCAGTAAACCTGCAATTTAAAACGTAAGATTGAACTGAATTATTGAAGTCTTTAATCATTGGGAGTCTCCTTAAGGGCAGTTTATTGATGGGCACGAATAATTTATTCATGTGCATGGCATTGAACTTCTAATTGTCGACATGTTAGGTTATCTCGTATGGACACTGATTTGGAAATTAAATATGATAAAGCAAAAGAATAGTATTTGACTGTCAGGGAGCCGGCCGACATCTCAGGCTCACCAGCAACTTAGCACCCATAAAATCTAAAGAATTTCTGTCCCCAGCCTTTGCCCTTTTACAATATTTTTATTTATTTATAAAAAATCACACCTGCACTTGATGACTGCTGCTCTGTTGTGAAAAAGCTGAAGCATATCTGGTCATTATAATTACAGAAAGGTGGCACTACTGAAAATAAAAGGGAAAGAACCTAGCGAGACCCCTCACCATCCACTGGATCCAATTATGGAGATGAGCACATGGTTTCAAGTTAACGACTGGCTCTCGAGCTAATAGAAAAGACATGAAGTGGGCTGCCATCAAGTCTAACAAATGACCTGACGCGTGAAAATGACATACAAAATTGATTCAAAATGCTGCTCAGTGTTGTTAAATATAATCAAGAAATCAAGAAGCGATTACATTAGAAAGTAACATTCAACAGAATTTTGATAATGACTATATACCAACACCCTTCTAATAACTAAAATGAACAATGAAAACCTAGGAAAAACTGGTAGCTAAGTTACTTCGAAAATTCTTCCCAAG